TATATATTTTGTACAAGTACAAACAGTTTGGTTATTTAGCACACCATTTTCTGAGCTATATGAAGATATACTTTAGTATATTTAACAAAATGTATTTGTAAATGTATAAAATTTAATTGCTGTTTGTTTCCCATTCACATAATTTAAAACAGATCAGGGTCACAGGAAATCAAAATATACTTTTATAATACAATGTACTTTCTTTTAGCCTCTGTGGAACACAGTTCATTGAGACCCTTCGTTTCTACCAAGAGAATCCAATTAAGTGCAAATCTTGCAAATTAATTATGCAAAAGAACATGGTACAGCACACATGTAAAGTGGTTTAGTTTCTTATCTGTCACCTCTATGGGGTCTATGGCTTCATAAAGGTTTTTTATGCTGGAGATATTGTAACCAACACAGATATATAATGAAGGGAAACTCAAACTTCCTTTTTACTCTATGTGGACAATTGTAAGCACCTGTAAGAAACCTAACTTACTGTAGAAAGTCAAAATCTATGTCTGAATGAGCTGCTTGAATTATCGCCCACATCGACAATGATAGATGAGACACCTGTAATGAAATAACATTATTTCAATTGCACAGTGAAATTTACAACTCATGTGACAGACAAAAATATGCAACCTACAGGTACAATCTGATTAAAATAAATTTATCAATTTTTTCATAAAATTTTTAAGTTTAGGTGATCATGAATAATATAAAATAGATAAATGAAAATAAACATTAATACATCAGACTTTAATCAGAATGATTACAGGTATTGTTTTTCTTAAAATATATTTCCAAAAAAAACATACTAACAAAAATGTTATTATAACAAAAGAAAAAAATGATTGCACATCTATGGTTTGTGGAGTATTTCATAACACTTATATGTTTCATGCTGCATTGAAGTTCGTGAGGTATATCTGTGGAACAACTGAATATTGGCTAATAATATGTAAATTAGGTAAGTTTTTTCATAACATTGGTGAGTGGATTTTGCAATATTTGAAACAGCTAAATATTTGTTATTAAATTATATGTAAATTATGTACCGGTATTGGCTGATTTATATAAATTATGTATTGGCTGATTTATGTAAATTATCTATTGACTAATTTATGTAAATTATGTAGTGGCTAATTTATGTAAATTATGTATTGGCAAATTTATGCAAATTATGTATTGGCAAATTTATGTAAATTATGTATTGGCAAATTTATGCAAATTATGTATTGGCAAATTTATGTAAATTATGTATTGGCAAATTTATGTAAATTATGTATTGGCTGATTT